CCCCTCTGCCGTATCTCTCTACTTCTCTGTCTCCTTCTCTGTCTCTTGTGTCTCCATAGAGACAAATAAAAAGAGAAAGCAAACAAAGACAGAGACAGAAGAGGCAACAGATAGAGACAGAGACAGAAGAGACAACAGACAGAGACAGAGACATGAGAGAGAACAGATAGAGACAGAGACAGAAGAGACAGCAGACAGAGACAGAAGAGACAGTAAATAGAGACAGACATAAAGGAGACAAAAGAGACAACCGATACAGACAGGAGAGACAGAATAAAGAGACAGAAGAGACAGAACAAAGAGACAGAAGAGACAGAAGAAAGAGACAGAGGAGACAGCAGAAGGAGACAGAAGAGACACCAGAAGGAGACAGAAGAGACAGAAAAAAGAGACAGAGACAGAACGTATTTGTATTTGTTTAACTGCCATAAAAACCCTAAAAAGGAGACAGCTGTCTCCTGCTGTCTCCTTTTCTCTTTTCGCAGTGCCCTCACTAAACAGAGACAGCCTCAGTTCGTTTATAATTAGTTAGTTACTATCATTTATTATTTAAGCATTTGCTGCAGCGGAGAGACTGCGTTGCTGCTGCTGCTGCTGCTGCTGCTGCTGCTGCTGCAGTAGGGGGGGAGGGCCCCAGTCTCCTGTGTCTCCTCTCTGCTGTCTCCTTTGCTTTATCTGTTTATTTATGGATTGATATACTTATAGATTTATACATAATAAACATATATAAATATATATGTTTATATACTTGTCTATATATATATATATATATATATATATATATATACATATATATATGTATAAAGACAGGCTCACAGCGAGCGCCATGAGGTGTACAGGCACCTCCCCTGGCTGCATCTGAGGTGTATAGGCAGTGTTGGGGTGTATAGGCAGCAAACGCTGCGGTGTCTGCGTAGCTCTATAAGCCATTGTATGTTTATAAGAAAGAAACAAAAGGGGGCTCAATAAAAAGAAAATAAACAAAACCCTAAAACACCAAAACAGAGAGGAGACAGAACATAAACCCTCCTCATCAAGCAGCAACAGAGCTGCCTATACACCCCAAACTCAAATGAAAGAGACACGCAGTATACAGCAGCAGCAGAGCTGCCTATACACCCCAAGCCGAGGTGTGAGAACCACTCCTCATACAGCAGCAGTAGCAGCAGCTGCCTATACACCGCAGGCTCAGGCCCAGGCGTAAGAGTCACTGCTTATATATCCCCCCCACAACCACCACCACCAGCAGCTGCAGCAGCAGCAGCAGCTGCTGCTGCTGCAGCAGGAGCAGCAGCAGCTGCTGCTGCAGCAGGAGCAGCAGCAGCTGCTGCTGCAGCAGGAGCAGCACCAGCTGCTGCTGCAGCAGGAGCAGCACCAGCTGCTGCTGCAGCAGGAGCAGCAGCAGGAGCAGCAGCAGCAGCAGCAGCGGAGCTGCCTATACACCCCG